AGCAGCTTCCTTATATATCTTTAAATGTAATATGATTTAAAATTATTATTTAAACATTAATTAGGCAAAGAAAAAAAAATACCTTTGAAGTCAAATCTATGTTTGTTCTAATTTTGCTCATGTCATAAGTCCTACCCCTAAACTACCTTATATGCTTTTATAGAACTTGGATTTTGCCTTTGAAAACTAGGTGTGCATAGAATATTTATACATGAAAGAAATTCTGATCTTCACACTTTTATGAGTTGAGAGCTTCACAGTCATAATGAACTGTGATCATTATGACATTAATTTTTTTCAGACACAAATGGTATATCCTGTATCATGCAGTTTGTTTTAATAATTTAAAATAGAATAGGAAACATTTATGTCAGCTGACCCTTAAAAAAATCAAGCATTCTACAGACAAAGATAAATGAGTTGACTCAGTGTCATAACTGGGGAGGAGAGGCGGGGGGCAAGGGGAGCAATAGGGGCAACCACCCAGGGTGCTGATGTGAGGGTGTGTGAAAAAAGGCGCTGCTGTGTCTTCACAATTCCAAACTATAAGTTGCTACTTCCACTTTGCCCTGGGTGCCTGGTCGCATCCCCTACACTGCTGGGTTGACTTCTCTTGTAGGCATACATAGATTTCATAGACATTAGGGCTGGAAGGGATCTCACAAGATCATCAGGTCCAGCCCCCTAGAATCATATAACCATAGAAAATTAGGGTTGGAAACAACCTCAGGAGGTCATTTTGTCCAACCCTCTGCTCAAAGCACGACCACCCCCAACTAGATCATCCCAGCTAAGGCTTTGTCTACCCAGGTCTTCAAAACCTCCCAGGATGGAGATTCCCCCATCCATCTGGGTAGCCTGTTCTAGTGCTTTACTACCCTCCTAGTGAGAAAGTTCTTCCGCATATGTAAACAAAACTTCCCTTGCTGCAACTTAAGACCATTGTGACTTCTCCAGTCATCTGCCACAACTAAGAACAGTCTACTCAATCCTCTTTGGAACACCCCTTAGGTAGTTGAAGGCTGCTATTAAATCCCGCTGCAGTCTTCTCTTCTCAAGACTAAATAAGCCCAGTTTCCTCAGCCTCTCCTCATGCCCCAACCCTCTAACCATTTTTTTCGCCTTCTGATGGACTCTCTCCTGTTTGTCCACATCCTTTTTTTTTTTTTTGTTGGGGGTGGGGGGGTGGCAGGGGGTAAATGTACTAAGGAGTGTAACGTACTAGGGTTAGATTGGTTAGATTGTGACACTTAGCTACAGTCATGAAGGGACACTTGAAGGGAGAGAGAGGCTGCAACTAGATTTAGACAGACTACAAAAGTGGGCAGATGAGAATAGGATGGGGTTCAACGCAGACAAATGCAGGGTGGTGCGCCTTGGGAGAAGGAATCCACAGCATACATACAGGCTGGGGAGTTCTCTTCTTGAAAGCACAGAGGCGGAAAGGGATCTCAGAGTCATTATTGACTCCAAGATGAACATGAGCCGCAAATGCCAGACCGCAGCCAGCAAGCCCAGCCATACCTTGTCATGCATCCAAAGGTGCATCCCAAGCTGGTCCAGAGAGGTGATACTCCCCCTCTATGCGACTTTGGTCAGGCCGCAGTTGGAGTACTGCGTCCAGTACTGGGCGCCGCACTTCAAAAGGGATGTGGCCAGCCTGGAGAGGGTTCAGAGGAGGGCCACCCATTTGGTGAGAGGGCAGTAGGACAGGCCCTACAAGGAGAGACTAAAGGACCTGAACCTGTTCAGCCTCAGCAAGAGGAGGCTGAAGGGAGACCTGGTGGCTGCCTACAAACTCATCAGGGGAGATCATCAGTAAATAGGAAGATCCCTATTATCTCCAGCACCACCTGGGGTGATGAGGAACAATGGTACTAAACTGATGGAGAATAGGTTTAGGTTAGAGATCAGAAGGCAATATTTTACAGTTAGGGTGGCCAAAATCTGGAACCAACTTCCTAGGGAAGTGGTCCTCACCCCTACCTTGGGCAAATTCAGAAAGAGGTTAGATGATCACCTGTCTGGGGTCTTGTGAACCCAGCATTCATTCCTGCCTGTGGCAGGGGGTCAGGCTAGATGATCTGTTCAGGTCCCTCCTGACCCTAGCTACTATGAAACGACTATGAATCTATGTAGTGGGGGCAATACAGAGCAATATTCCCGTGTGGAACCTCAAAATGGCATTCCACAGAATGCTTTATATAGCGTGCATGTGGCGCACACACGGTGGTAGTGCCCTTTAAGGGGTGAACTCCACCAGCATCACTATGTGCAGCTGGTTAGGAATTCAGCCATGGTTTACCTTATTCTCTGCTGCTTTTTTGACTGAAAAGCTGTTGCTCCTATAGCAGACTTTTGTCCTGACAAATGCAATTTCAAACAACTCTTATCTAAGTTGTACAAGGGCAGGGGTTCTCTGTCTTCAGACTCTCCCACCCACTTCCCCCAGTGAATGGCAACGTAAGTACACAGTCAAAATTTGCCCTTTTATGTTTATGATGCCTAAGGCATTGGTAGCTATATGCTGGGTAGCTATAGCTGCTATTTTATATCATAGTGATCCTTAGCAATATAGTAGCTTCTTCACAAACAAATACAAACTGTAGATCAATAAAGATGCAATGAAGTTCAGATTAGATATGATTCCTGCATACATTAAGCCTAATTATATTCCTTTTTAATACACTTCAACCATTGAAAGCATATATAATAGCAAACATCAACATACTTTATGTCTTATAAGTGAGCGTTTAAGTAATGAGATCTTAACTTATGTATCTAACACATCTTTACCTGAATGCAGAAGCAGGGCCATCCCTAGGAGGGGGACAAATTGGGGCAACCGCCCCAGGTCCTGTGCTTTGGGGGACCCACAGACTGGGGCAGAGCAGTGGCGGTGCAGAGCTAGGCGGAGCGACTGCTCCACATCCAGCCGCTCATTACCCTCCCACCTGACGCCACTGCTGCCAATGGTGGCAGCAGTTTCTTTGGGTCTGGGGCCCGTGGGATCAGAGCAGGAGCAGAGCCCTGCATGGGCTGATTTGCCCCGGGCTCCACACCCTGCTTGGGTCTGCTCTGTGCAGAAGCATGTATGTGTATGAATATATATAAAATATAATCACAGACGGAGTGGCAGGTCCCCAAGTGTTTGTGAGTTGCTTCATTTTAGCTTTGTGGGGCATTAACTCTGAAGACTCTATACAGTTGCAAATTAAGTCTGGAACATATGCAAATTTTTATCATGTCCTACCCCGAGGCCTGCATGCACTCTAAAAATTCAGTCTTAGCAGGAAATAGTATCAAATCTCAAGTTTAATGAACAACTATATTATCCAGTGGGTCAGTAGCCAGATTTATTCTGCTTGATACTGGTGTTTTTATTGTAGTCCAAGTAAATAACTTTACTGCATAAGGGTTCAATAGGATGCACAGTCGCCACGAAGGGGATGCATGCCATAGAGTCTGAGGTGCCTGGTATCCCCCTTTATAGCAGGTATATAGGAACAAACTAGTACAACTTCCACTACATAGATTCACCAGACATACCCTATTTTGTGCAAACCATATAAAGCAAACCAGTCCTCAGGCAAAAAAGCCCTGGAAGCTCCAGTGTCATAGGATGGCTGAGGGTATACATGTGGAGAGAGAAATCTCTTTTCCTGTGGTTTATTACTCTTCTAGCTACACTGAAAGCAGGTGCCAGCATTTGGTATGTAGAAAATTGAGTTTTTTTCATTGCTTCAGGCTGTAGATATATAAACCCAGAAACACATTCTTTCTACTTTCATGCACTGAAAATTTTGGAGGTTCTTTACAGGCCTAGCACACTTTTTAGTTTTTTAACTGAAAGTTCATATTCTGCAGAAAAATATAAGTGAGCCTCGCTCTTACCAAAGAGAGCTGCCTATTTGACACTAACAAATGCGTTAATCACTTTATCATTTCCATATCTCATAATATTAACAAACCTGGACAAATTAATTTGTACTGATACTATTTTGGACTAATTTGGAATTTTTATAAGGAGTATGTCGCAAAGCAGTTTAAGGAGACTGATAAACATGATCTCCATTTTACCGATAAGCAAGTGATTTGCCCTAGGTCAGAAAGCAAGTCCACAGCAGAATTTGAGCTGAAACTGAACAAAGATAGCACCATCACAAGAACCATAGAAATTAGATTACGTAGATATATAGAATACAGCTTAGGTGCCAACTTTTACTTTTGCCTGGGGAGGGAGGGTGGGGAGGCCTAAGATAATGGACACGTGGAAAATTTTATGCAGTTCAAGTGGCAGCCGTTTTCCCAAGGGGTGGCAGGGCTCTCAGACAACCATGTATTTGGCACCTCTGGAACACAGACTCCAGCCTATTACAGCACAATTGTATCTCTTTTAATGTACAAAAGTAACACGAATATTTCTTAGGCTCTTCTATAAAGAGCAAAGACAACAGGCTATGGATGACGTTGTAAAAATCCCAATCCAGCTTCCATTTTTCATAAACAAACTTCTTTGTTTGCACATGAAAATGACTGCTATACACACAGTACGATTTGCATATCATCTCTTTTACAAAGACAAAATCATGTTTATGAAGTTCCTTTAGCTCAGTCCTGCTAATAGACAGGAGAAGTTGGTGGCTGTAGAAGCATCTTCATTAAAACAACAATTAGCTGCTGATGCTCTCCTTCTCCTGCTCTTTACTTTGTATTTTGTACTTATCCACACAGATTTCAATACATACATATCAAAAGCTGAGATGGCACTGCAGTAATGAAATTGCAATATGTCTATCATCTATTATACAGCAAGGCCTGTCTTAAGTTTTGTTGGAGATCTTATTCACATACGGTATCCTTCACGGGTGAAAAAACCTGTTTTTTAAAACACTGCCTTTTACATTATAATTTATTAGTGAAAAGCATCTATAGACAAATATGAAGTTTTTAGTTTACCATTAAGCTGTTAATGTGAAATTACTTTTATTTGTCCTTAGGAAATGACAAGTAGGAGTCAGCTCAAAGTATCAAGCAGCAGCAAAGAAACTGAACGAAATGAAGTGACCTCCAAAGAATCTCAGCTGGAGGCCTTTCAAACAGAAGAGGTAACTGTATCAATTAATTGTGTCACCAGGCACTTACACAAAGATGCTGATTTTGAGGCTACATATTTTCATCTTAACTCTGTTACTACTTACTATAACAAGATCTTGATGTTCTGATGATAGTTACCTAATTTAGTGGTATGGAGACATGGGGGAAGAAAAGGTGTTTTATAAGAATTGCTTCAATGTGTTAATTAGCCATGGTTTCATTCAGATTTTTCCTTCATAAAACTTTGGTGGGAAATTCTCATGTATTATGCTAAACTTGATTTAAAGTTAAATTTTTGTACCCAGGTTTCTCATCTTGAAAAAGCTACCCATGAAACAACGAGAGCTTCTAATTTTGCTCAACATACTGAAGAAACAGGTAAGAAAGTTGGGAGGATATTAAGCATAAGAATAGAGAGTAACAAATAACAAATAGCATATCCACTTGCTCACACAAAACTAGCACTGGTCATACATGAACATGAAAACGTCAGTTCCAACTGCACAGTCCATCCCTGTTCAGCAAAATGCTGATCATTGACTTCCATGACATTTAAGAAGCATGTGATTAGATCTAAGGACCTCCTGAAGTGTTTTGCTAAACAGGATGGACTGAAGCGCATGATTAAATACTCTAATGCAGGAGTCAGCTACCTTTCTGTAACAATTAACAACCTTTCATTAACAAGGTTTTATCCCAAAGCAAGCTGCTGGCTTCTTGGCTGCAGTGGGATTAGCAGTCCAGGGAGGTAGCCTGAGCTGGAATGTCAACCATGAGCACCCCAAGGGAGGAAGCTTTCAGGAGAAGTCCCCCCTCATTCCCCCACCCCCAGCCCTAACCCTGCAAATACTGTGACAATATCATTTTTGGCATGCTTAGTGAGCTTGATAAAATCTCTTCCAGGCTGGATCTGGCCTGAAGGTTGCTGACCTCTGCTGTAACGTATCACAACTATGAAGAATAACAATCCTCCTCACATTTTGGCAAGCAACAACTCAGTTGTGCAAATGTTTAACTACTGTTCACCTGGACAGCTCCACAGAATATGAACAAATGGCCTCAAATACTGTTTCTGCAATATCCAACAATCCTGGTCCTGACAGACCATGGATAATGTAGCACTCTGCAATTATTCATGGTTCTCTGTGCAATGACTGAGTAGCTCTCCTAGCAATGCAAGGCTGGATTGATCTAGTGTAATGTGAATTGGTCTAGTGTAATAACTTTTTATAATTCATTGATAAAGACATTTTTAATAACATGGACATAGAAAAACCCTTTTATTCTTATTGTCATTGCAGTAGTCAATGCAGCTATGGATGAAGAGATTTCAAAGATTTCAACACAGGTTTTAAAAGAACAGTTTGAAAGGACAGCCCAAGAAAAGGCTGACAGAGAGACTGCAACACCTGCAAAGCAGATTAAGGTCTGTACTTAATAATAAGAGTAATCTCTGTCCATGCAAACTAGAAATGTTAAAATTCAGTATAACACTGAAATGCTACTCTATTCTGCAAGCTCTCAAATCTTAGCATATTCATATTTTGGTCACGTAGTTTGTCTGAATCTCAGTGTAATGTATCATGGAAGTGGTGGGAAGATAGAGGGCTTGGAAAACATGTGAACAATAAATACAAAATAACATAAATTGCATTAAATAATCTAACAAACATTTGTATTAGGAGATGAATACAGTTAAAAGCAAAGCTTTAAAAAAATCTTTTTGTTTTCCTCTGTCTTCTCTTGCTGCATGCAATCTCCTCTTTATCTTTTACTCTGGTAAAAAATTATAATTTCTGTGATCATCTTTCTCTCCAAAATTTTTGGTTGACACATTAGTTCAGAGACAAATGCAGAGAATGTTAATTCCATTTAAATTGAAATCAGTATAAACTGCTGGTGAATTATGTGTTATGTGCAGTACATCAAATTTGCATTGGTTGCAGCAGAGAAACCAATGTTGCAAAATCACTGCATCTTACCTTTTATACATTATGCCTGTATTAGAATTAGTTTTAATTCTATGAGGCTCTGAAAAACATCTGAAGGTGTTGGGTCTCTTAACCTTTAATTGCAATGTCCTTGCTCAGCACCTTGGAGAACTAATCCTTTGAATGGAATCAATAAAACTTTGGGCTGAAAAAACGTGTTTGTTAAATAAAATATCAATTTTGTCCCCTAAAGATTGAAAATGAATATCAAGAAATTGCATGGCCTTCTGCAGTTAGTTCCTCTTCCACGGCCAGTGCTTCAGCAAATAGAATACATGAAACTTCTGTGACAAGAGAAACAAAGCATGGGACTGCTGCTTCTCCTACAGTTCACACCAAGTCCTCTAAATGCAGAAGCAGAGAAGAGTTACCTCCTCCTTCTACAGCCATGCTACAACCTCCATCAGATATGAGAGAGTTTTCCCAGTCCCCTGAATTATTCACCTCTCCAACAAAGCTCACAATCCCCAAAGATTTGTATTCAAAGCAGAGAAATTTATATGAATTAAAACGTTTATACAAACATATTCACCCAGAAGTAAGAAAGAATTTAGAAAAAGATTATTTACGTGAAATTTCTCATATTGTATCTACTGAGCTTGAAACAGGGAATTCAGCATCAAGAGATGTACAACAAGCTAGATATGTCTTTGAAAATAGTCGTAATAGCCCTCAAAAGTGTATGAGCCCAGAGAGAGAATACCTAGAGTGGGATGAAATTCTAAAAGGAGAAGTTCAGTCTATGAGATGGGTCTTTGAGAACCAGCCTCTGGACTCAATCAAAGATGAATCTCCAGACCCAAGCAATATTAAAAGCATTGCAGATCAAGAAATCATTGCGGGTGGAGATGTTAAGTATACAACCTGGATGTTTGAAACACAACCTATTGATGCACTGGGTTCACATTCTTCAGATTCTGCAGAAAATGCAGACAAAATTCCTGAGCTAGCTAGAGGAGATGTCCGCACAGCAACATGGATGTTTGAAACTCAGCCTTTGGATTCTATGAATAAAATTCATCATGACAAGGAACAAGAAACAGATGAAACTTGTGTTAAAGACATTACTGGTGGTGATGTGAAAACTGTAAAGTATATATTTGAATCCCTAAATTTGGATAAAATTGGTCAGTTGTACTCAGTGGATGAAATTAACTTTCTGCAATTGAGATCCGAACTTAAAGAAATTAAAGGAGATGTGAAGAGAAGCATAAAGCATTTTGAAACTCAACCAATGTATGTTATTAGAGATAACTTGGGTCAAATGCTGGAGATTAAAACTGTTCACCGAGAAGACATTGAAAAAGGTGATGTCAGAACAGCACGCTGGATGTTTGATACACAGCCCTTAGACATGATTAACAAAGATCCTCTGGAAATTAAAGTTGTCTGTGGAGTCTCTATGGAGGAAAACATCAAAGGTGGTGTTCACAAGGCAAAATGGTTATTTGAAACCCAGGCTTTGGATACTATCAAAGAGGACTCAGAAGTAACTGTCAGTAAGAAGGAAACTATTCTAGGAGCTGATGTCTGTAGAAAGTGCTGCATTTTTGAAAATCAGCCACTTGATACCCTAAAAGATAATGACAACACAACTCACCTGCCACCTGAAGAAATAATAGGAGGTGATGTAAGCACCACCAAACATTTATTTGAAACGCTACCAATGGATGCAATAAAGGATAGTCCAGATGTTGGGAAACTTCAGAAGGTGGTTGCTACTGAAGAAGAAAAAGGTGATGTGAGGCATCAGAAATGGATTTTTGAAACAAAACCTCTTGAACAAATTAGAGAAGGAAAGAAGGAATTTGTAAGAACAGTAAAACTTGAAGAAATTGACAAGGGAGATGTAAGCAGCTGCAAAAATATATTTGAATCAAGTGGTGTAAGTAAGTACGATGAATCCCATAAAATTCACATAGAAGGCATAGAAAGAGGCGCTGTAGAGTTAAATAAAGTTCTTTTTGAAACAACTCCATTATATGCAATTCAAGACAGTTTTGGAAAATATCATGAAGTTAAAACAATTCGACAAGAAGAAATTTTAAGAGGAGATGTAAAAAGCTACAGATGGCTATTTGAAACAAGACCTCTTGACCAATTTGATGAAAGCGTTAAAAAAGTCCAGATTATCAAAGGAATATCTTCACAAGAAGTGCAGTCAGGTGATGTAAAAACAGCAAAATGGTTGTTTGAAACGCAGCCTCTTGATTCTATTAAATATTTTAGCAATCTAGAAGATGAAGAAAGCAATACAGAGCAGACTACACATATTGTTAAAGGAGATGTAAAAATGTGTAGATGGCTATTTGAAACGCAGCCAATGGAATTGTTGTATGACAAAGTTCAGGTAGTGACTGACAGTGCAGAAATTCATAAAGGAGATGTCAAAACCTGCACTTGGCTCTTTGAAACACAGCCACTTGATGCGATAAAAGATGAATCAGAAACAACAGTAAAACTGCACACTGTGAGTCAGGAGGAAATTCAAGGAAGTGATGTCCGTACAGCATGTTTCCTGTTTGAGACAGAAAATTTAGATAATATACAAGGAGAAGGAGAAAAGGAATTCAAGAGAGTAGTGGAAATTGATATCCAGCCCGGTGATGTTTCCACTATGAAGTATAAATTTGAAAACCAGTCACTAGATTCTATAAATTATAGTTCAGAGGAAGTTCTGGAAAAAATTAAAAATATACAGAAGGAAGATGTACAGAAAGGAAATGTTTTACATTGTCGATGGCTTTTTGAAAACCAGTCTATTGATACTATAAAGGAAAACCAAGAAGACAGTACATTATTCAGAACTGTTACCGATATACAGGGTGGAAATGTGAGAAAGGGCTGCTTTATTTTTGAGACTTTTTCTTTGGATCAGATTAAAGATGAATCTGTAGACATCAACACAGAGAAAACCATTAGTGTGGAAGAAATAACAAAGGGAGATGTGAAAAACTACAGAATGTTGTTTGAAACCCAGCCACTGTATGCAATTCAAGACAAAGAAGGGTATTACCATGAAGTGACAACAGTTAAGAAGGAAGAAGTGATCCATGGAGATGTACGTGGGACTAGGTGGCTGTTTGAAACAAAACCTCTAGACTCTATTAATGAATCAGACGATGTATATGTTATTAAAGCTGTCACTCAAGAAGATATTCAAAAAGGAGATGTGAGCTCTGTCAGATACAAATTTGAGACCCAACAACTGGACAAAATTTCAGAAGATGAAAAATTAATTATGCCTACTATTGATGCTGTCCAGGGTGGTGATGTGAAGGCCAACAAGCAATTATTTGAATCTCAGGGGCTCAAGAAAGACACATATGTAAGAACAGTTAGTGTCAATGAAATTCAACAGGGCAATGTTAAAACTTCTACTTGGTTATTTGAAACACACACTATAGATGAGATTAGAGGAGAGGGGTCAGAGTATAAGGATATTAAGACAGTCAAAAAGGAAGATGTGCAAGAATGTGATGTTCAGCAGGCAGTGTGGCTTTTTGAGAACCAGCCTTTAGATTCCATTAAGGAACCTGAAGAAAGTGAAATAAAAATAAAGGAAGAAATTCCACAGTCAGATGTAAAGACGACAACATGGCTTTTTGAAACAACACCTTTCCATGAATTTAATGAAAGCAAGGTTGAAAAGGAAGAAATTATAGGAAAAAGTATCACAGAAACTCTAAAAGAACTTTACTCTCACAAAGTTGTGGAGTCTCATGGAATTATCCTTGAGGCAGATGAAATTGGAGATGTCCGAATGGCAAAATATAAACTAATGAATCAAGAGCCACCTGAAATACAAAAGGAAGAGATTATTAAAGGGGATCTAGGCAACATAATGATGAACCTGCTGTCCAAAAGGAGCACTGTCAAAAGAGAAATTACAGTAAATGAAGACGAAAAGGGCAATGTCAATTTGACCAAAGCTCAATTACTGAACAGATCGACAGATGTTCTTGTTGAAAAAGAAGAGATAGTGAGAGGCGATATACAGGAAGCTATAAAAAACCTGTTTAGTGAGGATAGTTCTGTAAAACGAGGAATTTTAATTCAGGAAAATGAGAGAGGCGATATTAACATGACAGTCTATTCTCTCCTTCACAAAAAGGATGGCAATAAAATCCATCATGATGAAGTGATAGGTGGTGATGTGAAACGTACTATTCACAACCTTCTGTCTTCTACCATGAATAATGAAATAACAGAAAGAGCTAAAATAGATGAATCAGAGAGGGGAAATGTTCAGTTTTTCACAACCTGCATAGAATCTGGAGCTCTGGATTATCTAAAAATGTTTCAGACTGGGTCAAATGAAATATTCACAATGAAGAAACAAGAAGAGGAAGGAGAAATAATTGGTGGTGACGTAGAAGGTACGAAGCTGTTACTGAAGAAACAGAAGCTTCCAATTCAACGCACAGTTAATGAAACTGACATCATCCCTGGAGATGTGTCTAATACAGTTAAAATTTTTTTGACAGAGCCAGAAAATACATCTTGCCATGTGCACAAAGAAGAAATTATAAAAGGTGATTTGAAGGCAGCTTTACATTCACTCAGCCAGGCTATAAATCAGACAACTGTTACAGAAAAGGAAGAAGTTATAAAAGCTGATATCCTGGCAATACTAAGGTCTCTTAAAGAATCATCCTACCAACTGAAAGAAACAGAAAAGCCTGATGTCATCCCTGGTGATATTAAGCGGACAATTGAATCCCTTGAAAAAGCTATAAACACAACAAATAAAGTTCTGAAAGAGGCGGTTGTTCAAGGTGACCTTGAATCAACATTAAGATCTTTAAAAGAAGCTCAGCAGTCCCTCAAGCGCATAGACAAAGAATGTGTAATCAGCAATGATATTCAGAATGATGGACAATACCAGCTAGAAGCCTCTGCAGAAGAGAAAATTGTAGAGCATCAAGAAAGTGAGTATAAAGACATAAAAAGCACCAAGAAGATACTTTCTGAGGCTTCTCAAATATTAGCAAAAAACCAAGTTAATGTAACACAAAATCTACAAAAGACTGTTAAATCTCTCCATGAATATCATGAAGGAAAGCATGCTGAAGATGAGACTGTCTCCAGGGGTTTAAAAGGTACTAGGAAGATCCCTTTAAATCAAGAATGGAGCACTGAATCTCTGGATACTGATAAAACATTTCTAAGGAGCTTACCTAATTTACAACAGAAAGTTATCAAAAAAGTAGATGATTCCAAGGATAAAATTCAACTCCAAAGCCATACAAAAAAAGAAGCAAAACCTCTTATTGATCAACATGTGACCAGTCAGTCTGCTTTTAACGCTAAAGTTAAGAGGGAAGTGAGAACAGAGAAATCAGAGGTGTGCAGAGCTTTGAAGGAGGATCATAGCTGCAGCACAGTTCAGTTTACTGAACACACAGCAGAAAAGAAACAGAATCCATGTAACGAGCATGAAGATAATGATTTTTTCAACATAAACAATACAGAGAGAAGAGGAAAGGCAAAAATATCAACAGGAGTTTATACCTCCAAAGCCAGAGCCAGACAACAACCAATCAACGTGGCTGCTAGTGGGGTTTCTAAAGTGACTGGCCATCCAAAACAAGTGGCAAAGAAAGAAATAAACCAAGCTCAGAAGTTTAAGGAGGGTTTTGGAGAGAGTGAAATGAGTGTTCAGCCAGTGCAAGATGTAGTTTCCATGACAGCAGAGCCAAATATAAAAATCAAACAAAAAGTAAAAGTTGGACATGAAATGCACAATAAATATACAGAAACTGAAAAGAAGAAAAAGAGCAATGCTCATCAACACAAGACTAAAACAGGAAAGACTAAAACAGAAGCTACTAAATCAGACTTCCAGTGTTCAGTAAACAAACCTTTAAATCCCGCCAAGAATGGTATGGAGAAAGATTTGCCAGAAATAGATTCCCCACCCCCTCCACCACCCCCTCCTCCACCACCACCTTCATTCACATCTTCTGAACTGGAATTTCCTCTACCTCCTCCTCCTTCAATGATGCCATCTGATACATTGTCACACTTAATTATGGACAACACCAAAGCTGAATTTGACCACTTTCCTCCTCCTCCACCACCACCACCACCACTAGATGACAAATTGGTAAATGAATTTCTGCCTAGTCTCTCTCTCCCACCACCACCACCTCCTCTCACAATTTCTCCTACTGTTCAGCCAAAGCAAAAGAAAGAATATTTCCCCAGATATCCAGAGAAGGTGCCACCTCACTCAGTGCAGCGTCCTGCTAAGGCTGAAGCATCAGGTAAGGCACCTGAGGGTCCATCCTCAAAGACATGTCTGCAAATGGAACCATCTAAGAGGCTAGCAGCTAACAAGTCTAAAATACCTCCAAAACCTGAAACCACTGTTCTTCAGAAAGGCACAGAAATTAATATTACCAAAACAGCAGAAGAAAGCAAAGTGTCTGAAACCATGGTGAATATTGTTAGCCAAGAGCAGAGACAGAAATCAACTCATGCAAGAACAGGAGAAGTAAAAAAGCCCTCACTCATTACAGAAGGGATTAATCCACCACCCCAAATTCCACAAGAATCACCGCCCACTAGGAAGAGAGTGGCTTTTCCACTTACAAAATCACCTTCCCTTCCACCTGAGCCAACACAAACACAACCTAAACCTTACATCCGGAAATTTAAAACCCCTTTAATGATTGCTGAAGAAAAATACAAACAGCAAAGGGAGGAGATGGAAAAAATGCAAGCCAAAAGCTTGTGTCATGGGACTGCCAGAACAAACAACGAGGCACAGGGAAGTCCAGTTCAAACAGAGCCAGAAAATCATGTGCCATTACAAAAATCAACCAAGCAGGATCAAACTGCTTCACAAGGTTCAATGCCCTCTCTAACTCCACAGCAAGTGATGCCCTCTGATTCTGACTTTCAAGTCAATTTACAAGCAACAGGATCTCAAGTTGATAAACAACTGTCTGCATCATTAGTAGTATCATCAGCTGCTGAGCAGCTTCAAAACATTTTAGAAACCTCAGCAGAAGATCATATTAGGAAAAAAGAACTGCAAGGTTCAAAGGATCTTACGAAACATAATTTATCTTGTCAAATGGAACAAATCCATCAAAAACATGCTTTGCATAAGACAGAGCAGCTGGAGAATGTGGAGCAGTTGCACATGTCCAAAAATAAAATCATCTCCCCTAATTTCAAAGTTAAAACCATCAAGCTCCCCATTGTAGATCAAAGCTTACATGAAACACAGAAAGATTCTAGGGTGCATGAAAAACAACAGGAAATTAATGTTCAAAATGTTGTCAAACAACAAAATCAGGAAAAGCAGAGAAAAGACATAAGCACTGTCATTGGGAAAAAACAGAGTATTGCAAAGCAGCACCAGACACATGCTGATGGGAAGGTGCTGACAGAAAAAACACCTTTAAAGCACATGGAGAACATGCAAACAGTAAGGAAGAAAGATTTCAGTCAAGTGAAACATAACTTAATTAATGAGAAAGGAACAGAAAAAGGAGAAGCCAGGCATGAGAAGGTCTCACTGACTAACAAAATAAATCAGGGCAAGATACTAGCTTGGCCAGAAGACGACAAAGTAACAATACAGAAAAAACAAGAGCAGTTTAGGAATAAATCAGCAGAGAAAGTGCTCCAACACAAGGTAGCTGATACGCATCATGACTCACAGACCCAAATTGTAGAGCAAAAGAATGTGTGTGTTTCTGAAAGTAACTTCCAGAATAAAGAATTGTCCCACCAGTATAATAGTCTGCAAGAAAAAGAATGTGTCACAGACAAGGACTCGCAAGTAAAACAAGCTTTTCTGAAGACAATAGATCCAAAACAAGAGATTACACAGAACAAATCTTCATTTTCTTCTTCACCAAAAGTATCACAGCCAGTTGATGAAAAATGTGCGGCCGATATACTAGAATTCTTGAGAAAAAGGGAAGAACTGCAGCAAGTTTTGTCTAGAGTGAAACAGTTTGAAGATGAGCCAAATAAAAATGGCATGAAAAGATTTCAGACATTTTTAAGTATTATCCCTGTATGGCTAATAGACCAAGAAAGAAAGAAAAACATAGTTCATATTATGATGGAAAATAATTTAGAAAAGCTAAAAGGAGAGCTATCAGATATTAAACAGCATGCAGTCAAAATGCTCGCCTCCTGTGAAGATACAATCCAGACTGCTATGTTGACCACAAACCAAGTGAAATCCAGACATGACTCTGTCAGCTATGGGGACCCATCCCAGAAAATATCAAAAATCAGCTTGGGCTCCAACAGAAAAGATACACATAAAATGGAAGATATTATCAAACAAGAAACAGCGCACCATGAAATTAAACAGCAGTCTAATGGAATCAGACAGACAGAGTTCAGAATTTCTTCTCCAGCACTAAGAATGCGATCACCGTCTCCTACTTACATAACAATTGCATCTAGGCGGACAGACTCTCCTCTCAAGGACATGCCCTCCTCATCTCCCATCCAAAAAGAAACTAACACTGTTCCTCCATCACTTCCCAGATCTGCAACACCAAACTCTAGAATTCAAAGGCCAGCTTCTGCTCCCTCTTCTCCAAGAAGCCACTGCAAACAAGCGGCCAAACTGAAAGACTCCACAGCAAAGTTATCTCAAGGAGCAACACGGTACTGGTCAGTGACACCAATTCCAGTTGTTGAAAAAAGGTCAGAAATAGTTAAGTCTCCTGCAACCCTTCGCCGACAACTTAAGATTGAAACTCATGCTGCAGAGACTTTATCCTCAGCAACTATACCTGTAACTCAAGTAACTGCTGGTACAGTAAAGAGTGAAAAAGCAGCACGTGAAGAGGATAAAAAAGCAGAGAAAAGCAACACCCGCAGGCACCAAAAGCCAGTAAACATTCCAGAATGCTTACAGCCCCATACTGAAAGCTTAGATGCAATCTCAGTTACACAAAAAATTGAGGGTCCTAAGGTTGATCATTCAGGGCTTATTCATAGGTTTGAGGCATCTGAGAGAGTGATACATACACAAAAACAGCCAATTACAATAGCTGAAAGATTAGGCAATGAAAGTGAAGAGGAAATGGATATGTTCTTAGGGAACACTGGAGACAACTCAGTATTTGATATAAAATCAAAGAAAAGATTTTTTGAAAGTAGTGAAATGAACAGTAAAGTAAAGGCTGGCAGGCACACATTTAGCAAGGATGAATATGATCTGAAGTCTGTGGAGACTCAAAAGCAAAAAGATGGCTTACAAAATTCTCCTTGCTGGCAGCTCAGGGACTCAAAGCAAAATGCATCTTATGAACAAAGGCAATGTGAAGATAAGGAGTGCTCATTTGAACCTGTTGTGTGCATAGAAACAAAGTCTCACGGTGAACAATCTTCTGGTCGGGATGCATTTGCAAACACAGTCACTGAATCTAGGGCTGCTGCCTCCACATCACAAGGTGCTGATGGTATGCAGTCAGGATTTGGTTTCAAGCATGCACCTCCAACATATGAAGATGTAATCTCAGGACACATTTTGGATATTTCTGCTGCTGATTCACCAGAAGAACTACTAAGAAATTTTCAGAAGACGTGGCAAGAAAGTGAGAGGGTGTTTAAAAGTCTTGGATACAGAGTCTCAGATACTTCTGAAACTGAAGTGAGAAGTAGCTTCCACCAAGAAGCAGAATTTTTCAGTGGTAAATAAGCATGCAAAGTGTGGAGAACCCATTTAAGGGTCCTAATCAATGTCAATATGTCATGCAATTAATGAATACTGTGTTTATAGTCACAGGATAAGGTAACATAAAATTAACAAACTTTTCTTAATTTTTGCTGTCTGTCTCTCTTTTTCTGTTAGCTGTCTTTTATCATTTTCTTTTCCAAAGGCATCTGCTTTAAGTGATGTGCCGAATGTATGACTAACAAATACTGATATATTGGGCTGTGAGGCCTTTTTGCCAAGGTAAATATTGCATTTCAATTAGCAGCCTAACATATATATTTATATATATGTATGTATATATTTACATAAAAAATAAAACAACATAAATTCTGCATTTCAGAAATGCTAACCCGTTATGTGTTCCTGATAAATAGCCAACACTATACTTTTAACTGAGATAAAAGTAAATGGCAGTTGTGTTTGCATGTAGTACATCATATTAGTGATGAGAAAACAACTTTCAGATTTTAAATGTGTCCATTTAAAATGTGCTAATGCATAGGACTTGTACTTAAACATACTGACCTTTGTTTAGGGTGGCTTTAATTAGGCGCACACACAATTGTAGAAATTGTTCATAGGATTTCATGCAAAAGCTTATGATATATTTTGTTCAGC